CAGTTGATGTACTTCTTAGCCACTAGTTTTCAGACTTACTTGCTTCACTCTAGAGTCTCTGTGTTAGGAATTGCATTCACCTGCTCTTAGAAACTAATAGTAAACACAAATTTTGGAAGGGAAGCAGTCCAGGGAGTTGTTGGATGTGGTCACTCACATTTGTAATACTTGAGGGGAGGCTAAATTCGGAGGATTGCTATGAGTTTGAGCCCAGCCTGGCTACAGAGTGAAACCTTGTCTTAAACAGTAACATGAGTTAAAAAAAAAACAGGGACCCAGAAGCAGACCTCAGTGGGTGCCTTCCATTCTCAATATCATAATGATCCAGTGTGACTCTTGGAACAGTAGTTATAATTATATTCACATTCCTGGGAATATGCAGGCAATATGGTGTAGTGCTACCCTGGTAAAAGGGGGATGCATTCCTAAGGAGGAAGGTAAGAGCAGGCGCTGAATGACAGTTGCTGGTTTCTACCATGCTGAGAGACCAGCAGGAGTGATGGCACAGAGTGGTCCCCAGAGATGAATGTGATCAGAAATATGTAAGAATCAATGCTGTGGTAGTCACAGAGGTTGCTTTTGAATTCTCCATTGTGCAGGTTTCATCTGTTGTCAAATCTTTGGGTGAAATACTGAGTTCTAGCATTGAAGTGGAGGGTTCAATAATATTTGTGTCACAACACCATTAACCTCATTAGCCTTTTTATTTTCCTTTGTGTCTTCCTCTGACTCCGTTTGGAGTATACAACAATACCTGTACCATTCTGCTGCTTCCTTGTGAGAACTTGAAAACTTTCTGAGTGAATATTTGCTACTCGAGTACTTCGGAATTAGGAAAGTTGCAGACGGAGGTCAAAGAAAGCAGTGTGAAAAAGTAATAAAAAGCATGCGTGAGGTCCTGTCAGTGGTGTTCTTTCCCTGCCCACATGTCCATTTGAGGGATTTTTGTTTTGTGTTGAGATAGCCTTAAACTCAGAGCAGTCCTACCTCTCTGCCTCCTAAACGCTGGGTTTACAGGTGTGAGTCACCATACCTGGGGTGTTGTCATAGTTGGGTGCTCTTTAACTCTTGATTGCGTGAAAGTTTTTCTTATGGAAGCTCTTTGAAGTAAAACAGATGCTGCTCACTTTCAGAATTTTAGACCTAAATCCTCCATCTCTTGCTTTGAACCAGAAACATAACAAGCTCTTTTTGTCTTTGCTTTCATCATATCACGCCCCCCCAACCCCCCTGGTATTCCAGTAGAATTGTTTATGTTTCTGTGTCAGTCTGTGTTCTGGGTCCTACTTTTTTCCTAATACTGTGAATATCTTTAATGCTGTGCTATTGAAAACCTGTTCTTTTGCCTCTTCCTTTTAGCCTTTAATGAGGTTTGCTCCTAAATGTTCTAATTTTATTTTGGGGAGGTGTATCTAGTTCCTGTTTTAGTCAGCAAAGTTCCTTCTTTCTGAGCTGTGGGTCTAAGTGATAATAAGGAAAATTAGACTTCAATATAAGTCCCATGCTGTTTAATCAATGCCTTATTAGAGGAACAAGCTCTCATTCAGCTTAGGGGAATGGGAAGAAGTGATTGGCAAGGCTTTGTATAGGGAGAGATGTTTGATCTGAATCCTGAAGGAAAAATAGGCAGAGAGGAAAGGAAAGGTTTTTTCAGAAAGAAGACTTATTCCTTATTCAATCACTATGCTGTTTTTCAGGTAACTTGGACCTGGCATATTATTAGATAGAATAAGAAATATTAGTATATGGTCACTCTCCTCAGTTGAGATGTGTGTGTGAAAGGGATGAGGCTAGAAAGCTTTGGTATAGAGTATAATTATACATGTGAAACAGCATGTTAAATGCAAAATTAGGTTACAACTACTCTGGGAATTTAGAGCAGTAGTAAAACATTAATAAAAGTTAAAGCATTTGAAACCAGAGTTTAGATTTAGTTTACCAGAAAAAAGCTATTGAAAGTACTTGGGCATAGTGACATGAAAACAGTGTTGCTAGATTTTTCTCAGCATGTGTACGTTGGACTTGAGGTGATTAGCAAGGGAGGGATGGTGAGAAATCAGAGTCAGGAGGCCAGCTAGGAAGCTTTTGGAATGGGGTGAGGTAATGTGGGTCTGACATTTCTTAACCAGATTTCCGTAACCAGATTTCTCAGAGCTTTCCATTCTGTTTTTCAATTTACCACCATCTGTTCTCTTACACAAATGGACTTCTGTCAGCACCATTCCACTAATAGGTTCCTTTCTAAGTAGTACCTGGTGATCTGACCAAATCTAATGGTCATCTTTATATTCTTCCTGGATAGGCAACTACTGCAGCCACTAGCTTAAGTATCAGTAATCTCCACTGATAGTATCTGCCTTACTCCCAAGAATATATAAGCCTTAATAAATTACAAACAGCTCCCCCCTATTTTTTAGTTTGTTAGAGATGTATTTTATAGAGTGCTTAGTATTTGCTCTATTAGAAGTGCTGATTAGAAGCACAGCGTGGTATAATTTGGATACAGCATATCTTTGAAGACTGGAGATCTTACCCTTTCCACGATGTTTAGATCTCAACTTTAAGACACAGCTTGGGTTTTGGGTCTATTAATTACCTGTGTATAAACAGCCTTTGACTTCAGTGGACCCTTGATTTTTCATTTTTAAATTGAAGGGCTGACTCTGTACTTTCCCCACTAGTTTGGTATTGTATAGTCTTGAAATTAGCTTAGCTCCTTATTTTACAAGTCATTAAAATGTTTTTCAAGCTGGGAATAAGCATTAAAAATTTTTTTTGTTTACTTATTTTTATTTTATGTGCATGAGTGTTTTGCCTACAGATATGTAAGTGCACCGTGTCAGTTGTGCAACGCCTGAGGTCAGAAGAGGGCATCAGATCCTTTGGAACTGGAGTTAATGACAATTGTTAGCTGCCATATGGGTGCTGGGATTCAAACTCAAGTTTTCTACAAGAGCAGCCAGTGTTCTTAACTGCTGAACCATCTCTTCAGCCCAGGATAAGCAGTTTTGGCTGATAATATGTTAGGATAATACGTTAGGTTTGTTTCTTTAAGATCTCTGAAGGTACTATTTAGGGGAATTTAAAGTTCAGGTTTCAACACTGGGCCTGATGGTACCTGCCTTTGATCCCAACACTCAGGAGGTAGAGGCAGAGGCAGGTGGATTTCTGAGATTGAGGTCAACCTGGACTACATAGCAATTTCCAGGCCAGCTGGGGCTATGAGGACACCCTGTCGCAAAAAAAAAAAAAAAAAAAAAAAAAAAAAAAAAATCAGGTTTGAGAAAAGGAGGGAGGAATTTAAAAGATAACAAAGGTGAAACTGTGGTTCAGAGCATTTGAAAAATAAGGTAATAATAGGGCTCTAGGTGCCTGTGTTTCTCTTTCTCTCCTCCCTCTCCCCTATTCCCACGCCCCCACCCCCCGGCCCCCATCTTTTTCACCTCTCCTCCTTCCCCCGGCCTCCCTCCCTCCCTCCTGGAACTCAGGTTTTATAGTACCTTCCCAAGACACTCCTTGATTGATAATTTAGCATTCGCTGAGTACTTTCTCTTACATGTGTTATTGCTTTATCAATTTAGTATTTTAAGTCTAGGTGCTTTTATTGCTTCTTACACACGAGGAAGCTGCAGTGTACAGATAGTGAACATTTTCAGATGGAAACTGCTGGAATCAGTACTTGAATTCTGATCTTACTGACTTCCAAGCCTGTGTTGTTGTTGCCTGGAAATTCAAATTCTGTGCACAGTACCCTATATTGCTTTTTGCTGGGAAGTATTTGGGATGAAAGGCCTATGTGGGATTGTCTTTACCACAGGAGTCACTAGACCCCCACTCCTTTTCTTTCCTCTTTTTGTCATGTTGGGGTTACAAATCCAGTGCCTTTTACATGTAGGCAGGTGCTCTGCCACTGAGCTCTGCCTCCAGTCCTAAACATTTTCTTTTGATTGGAGTTCCTGTTTCTTAGGTGGCATCATGTTGAAGCCAGCTCTACTCTCTGCTTTGTCATCAAGGTCACTGTCCAACTCTTATGGTCCCAGAGAACTGCTGTGGTGTGAAGTGCCAACCCCCCTTCCATATTCTCACTGTTAATTCTTAGAGCAGCTTCTTTCTGTTCTAGAAATGTGCTAACGTAGCAGAGTTTTGTTTTCTTTTGAATGGTAGTGGTCTGAATTTTTTTTGGAGGGGGGGTCTTTCTGAGACAAGGTCTCCCTGTAGCCCCAGCTGGCCTGGCACTCGATATGTAGACCAGGGTGGTCTTGAACTCACAGAGATCATTTGCCTCTGCCTCCTAATGCTGGGACTAAAGGCATGCACCACCACGCCTGGTTCTAAGATCTCTTACTTAAGTAGTCTCCAGGTGCTGTCTGTCCTCGCTTCCCCTCTACAGTGTCCTGTGGTTCTCTGTCCTGCCAGCTCCCCAACCCGCTGTCTTCCTGTTCCTCCTGCTGCCCTGCTTCACTCCTCCCACCTCTGTCTCACCTTCCTCCTCCACGCAGACCCCTGGGTGCTTCTCAGTCACTCCTGACTTCTTGCCTCTGCCTTATTTTTGGCACTCCTTTGTATAACATCTCTAAAGAAACTGAGGTACAGGTAGACTCACGTTTTTTAAGGGGTTGTGGCATTTTGGTGAGTTCAGAATTGGGTGCAGGTGGAGCTTTTATGCCAAGATCCCATTGCTCTTGATAGGCAGCAGCCATTCTTTTTTTTAAAGAAAGATTGGTATCAGCATCGCTTTGTGTGTATGTGTGTATTAGTCTGTATTTTAAAATCTTTGCAACAAGTTTTCCATGTTTTGAAGAGGGAAAAAGAAATAAAAAAGACAGGAAATGTTGATCCCTTAAATATTTGGTTCGGTCATTAATATACTCAATCTTTTTCCTCCAGATTTAACTCAGGCTTTCCCTCACTCTGGAACTCCTAGATTTGAGAATATTGGAATATTTTGAGAAGCAGGGGTTCTTTCCTTGATACTGACTAAGGAGTCTATTTACCTTCAGGATGACGTCTGAACTGGAGAGCAGCCTAACATCTATGGACTGGTTACCACAGCTCACCATGAGAGCAGCTATCCAAAAGTCTGATGCTACACAAAATGCACATGGAACCGGAATTTCTAAGAAGAATGCACTCCTTGACCCGAATACAACCCTGGACCAGGAAGAAGTTCAACAGCACAAAGATGGGAAACCTCCTTATAGTTATGCCAGCCTCATCACATTTGCAATTAATAGCTCACCCAAAAAGAAAATGACTTTAAGTGAGATTTACCAGTGGATTTGTGATAACTTCCCATACTATAGAGAGGCTGGCAGCGGTTGGAAGGTAAGGAATTTATTTAAGTTACTGTTTTTGTGCAATAAGTAATGATAGTCGTGTTGACTGCTGTTAGAAATAAAGCTTTGTGGAAAGTTATATAATTAAAGATTGAATTCTGACTTCTAGTCATTTTTAGGAGGTCAGAAGTGGTAAAAAAAATTTAATTGGCATTTATTGATTATGTGTATGTGTACATGCCACAGTGCATAGGTGGAGACCAGAGGACAACTTTGGGAGTCAGTTTTCTCTTTGTACCATGTAGGTCCTGGGGGATAGAATTGAGGTTGTCAGACTTGTCAGCAAGTGCCTTTACCCTCTGAGCCATCTTGCTCGTCCTGGAAAAATTTAAATTTAGTAAGGAGCTTATTTCTGGAAACAGCTTGTTAGAGCTTTACTGTGTCATTGGACTGGCATAGCACAGAGAGAGCATTCACTAAAAACAGTGTCTATAGTGCTGGTAAACTGACACCGACTAAGGTAAAGGAGTAAAATAATACTACATAAAGTAAACTGTCATCTGTGAGCTAAAAAAAAAAAAACCTTTGTTTTGACCTTTAGATTTATGAGTTTAAAAAATAGCACAAAAGTTTCCCCCACATACTATATCAGCTTCCTCTAATAGCATTGTATATAACTATAGTATAATGATCAAAACCAAACATTTATGTTAGCACAAAACTGTGACTAGACTGTACTGCAGACTAAACTCTAGGCCTTATTCAGAGCTCATCAGCTTCTCTACTCTGCCCTTTATGTTTCAGGACCCCACATGGCATTTACTTGTTATCTTTTCCCAGTCTCCTCCAGTGTGTGAATGTGCCTTACTTTGCTCTTGTCTTTTTTTTTTTTTTTTTTTTTTTTTTTTTTTTTTTTTTTAAAGGGTCATGTTTCCCCCCCCCAAATTAACCCAAGGCTAAAGAGGATCAGGCTGGCCTTGAACTCACAGAGATCCGTCTGCCTCTGCCTCCCAAGTGCTTGGGACTAAAGGTGTGCACCACCACGCCTGGCTTCCTCTTGTCTTTTATGACTTGGGCACTTTTGAAGCGTATTTGTCAAATATGTAGAATTGTCCTCAGTTTGGTGGTATTTTCAGATAGTTGGGACAGATTAATGAAGAGGCAGTCTGCATATCAGAGGGCAGTGTGTGACTGTGCCTCACTCTCCTCTTGTCTGATTAATGCACTGTCAGGTTCTCCACCATAGGCTGCTATTTATTATTTTGTAAATAAAAAGTTTCGAGGAACTATTTTGAGGGCATGTGAAACCCTTGTTTCTTTTTAAACTTTTGCCCATTAATTTTAGCATTATTGTTTTCTGTTTTTAGATATTTATTTATTTATTTTTTATGTATATGAGTGTATTGCTTCATGTATGTAAGTGTACACTCATGTTGTACAATGCCTGTGGAGGTCAGAAGAAGGCATTGGATCCCCTGGAACTGGAGTTAATGGTTATTAGCTGCCATGTGGGTGTTGGGAATTGAACCTGGGTCCTCTGCAAGAGCAGCCAGCATTCTTAACCTGTCGAGCCACCTCTCCAGCTCCAGCATTATTGTTTTCTAATGGTGTTTTATTTTTTCTTTCTTTTCCATTTTTGCTTGTAATAACAAAGAACAAAGGGGGGGAGGGCTGAAAAGATGGCTCAGCAGTTAAGAGTAGTGGCTGCTCTCGCAGAGGACCTGGGTTCAATTCCCAGCACCCACATGGTGGCTAACGAGCACCTGTAACTAAAATTTTTTTAAAAAGGAAAAAACCGTTTTCATCCCTCTTATTTGTGCATTCATTATCTTAGTAGTGTGTGCTCGTGGGTCTTTGTACTCACTGTCATCCTGTTTTCTTTTTCTTTTGCTTGTGGTGCTGAGCTATATCTTAGCCCTTGATTTCTCAAGACTTTGTAGTCTAGGCTGGCTTCCAACTCACTGTGGTCACTATATAGCCAAGGCTGGCCCTGAACCCAAGATCCTCTTGTCTTAGCTTCTAAGTGCTGGGATTACAAGTGTGTCTCACCATGCCCAGCAAGGATGTTTTATGTTTGTGTTGCTGGTGATCGAGTCTCAAGCATGCTGCCAGGGAAGTACTCTACCACTGAGCTGCATCCTGAGCCGGCACTTAGCCAAGTTATTGCAGCTCTGACATTGGGAACTCTTACAGGTGGGTTTCATTCTTTTGTTTCTTCAGTACTTTCTTCCTTTTTGGCATCATAAAATGTTCAGGATCGTCTTGTTTCTTCCATTCCCCAGCTCTGGAATCAAACTGGTCCTTTAAGGAGCCTTTTGATAGACTGTCATGTTCGTTACCTAGTAAATTTTTGTGATATAACAAATAATCCAACTTTCTTTTACTTCTGCACCTGTTTTATTCAGGTGTCTTTTTTTTTTTTTTTTTAAAAAACCTTGTTTTTTGCATTCTCATAAATTTTTAGAGACCTTTGCTTATATATTGTACACCAGTGATGTGCATGTACTAACTGTGACAGATAGTCCAGTGTCTGAAAGGAAAGGATTGTGCTGTGTGCCTTTTCTGTGTCTTTCATGCCTTAGCAATGTTTGTTTAGTAGTTTCTGTTTGCAGTTTGAATAAAAATATGCCTACTGGTCGGCCCTCCCTTTCTGCCTTTACTTTGCTGCTGCCTTTTCTGTCCCTTCCAGCTTCGCTGTCTCCAGACACTTTCACTTCTTTCCTGCTTTTGTTTTTCTCTTATTTCGCCTTGGACCCTTCACTCTTCTCCTTTATACAAACAGCACCACCTATATTCCAGCTTATGTTACTTTTTTTCCCCTATAAAATGAAACTTATTTTTGTTCAGAGATCTTAGTGTTTTATTACTTTTTGTTTGTGTATATAAATACTGAAATGGTAGCTGCTTTTCCAATTGTGTGCTAAGCACTATTCTAAGTACCTTTATACCATCATTTCTTTAAGTCACACAGCAGCCTTTTAAGTGATACTATTGTCCAAATTTTAAAAGAAAATGAAGGCTTAAATAAATAATTTTCCAGAGTTTCTCAGCTAGAGGACTGTAGAATCAAGTCTTGGTAACAGGTGTGGTAATTTGGAGGTTTTAGCACTCTTTCTGAACCAGTGCACAGCCCATAATTTTGGAAAAAAACAACACAGTATTTGTTAAGTTGAATTTGTGGAGATAAACTCCTTAATTGGCTGATTAGCCTGCGAATTGGTGTTAACATTATGCTCTGAAGGAGTCTATGCTAATAATATTTCAGTGGGGGTGTACATTTTAAATTTGGACTCAAAAAAGTTGAGGCTGTAAGCTCAGTGGTGGATTGCTTGCTCAGTATGCACAAAGCCCTGAGTTTGATCTCCAGCACACCCCACCTCAGTTTTTAAAATCAAAACATCATTGTAAGCAAGTAGTAGTAATTTATCTAAATTGTGTTTTCTGTTTTTACCACTGGGCATTATAGGTGCTTTTTGTCAAGATTTGGATAAGGGACATCAAATGAGTTTGGCAGTGGAAAACATGGTGCCTGCAGAGTAGAAATGGTAATCATTTGAATAACGAAGCCGACCAGGAATTTATGGGTCCTTATCAAAAGCTATAAATCGGAACTTCTGAAGGTACCAGATAGGTAACATAAATAGGGAAAGTAACTAGCTGTGTCTTGGTTACATGTTTCCCCTTAGGGTACACAGCAAACTTCACAGTTTTTATCCTAAAGAAATGTGAGAAATCTGGATTTTTGTGCTGAATTTCCCAATATTTAGATGTTGCCAACTCCAGATTTCTTACTCTATAGTATATAATAAATGTTTGTTTTTATTCTTTTCAGCCTATGGACTACTAACATTTTTAGCTAATTTCATGATCTTTCATTAATTTGAGAATTGACTTACTGTCTCCCCTTCACTGTGCTTGACTTTGGCAGTACTAAGAAGCTTAGTACAGGGCCCCTTAGGGAGTTTGTACTCTTTTGTTAGATGAAGATACAGTAAGAAATTATGAAGCTATAGAAAAAGCTCTTCAACAGAGTAATGTGGAATGCTGTTCTAGCTAACTAGTTTGTTACACCTTCTGTGTTTAAGTCATAAACTTTTTAGCTGTGGTCCAGTAAACAGTGTTAAATGAAGGGTGTAGTTAGTGAGAGTTATGATAATATTCTAAAGGGATTGGTACAGAGAATAAGTGGTATTAGAGTAAAAGGAAAGGGACTCATTAAAAAGTGAAAATTGTACTATTTTGAAGAAGATTTAGACTTAGAAGGATATTGATTTTATTTTATTTTTTTAAATGTATATGAGTGTAATGCCTATATGTTGGTGGGTGCACCCATGCCACGCAGTGCTCACAGATGTCAGAAGAGGGTGTCAAATGCCCAGTTGTTAGCTGCCATGTGGATGCTGGGAATCGAACCTGGTTCCCTTGCAACAGCAGCCAGTGCTCTTAACCTCTGAGCCATCTCTCCAATCCCTTAAATGTATTCTTAAGAAATAATTGGTTATAGGAGTTCCTAGTGGAGAGTTGGAACGAGAAAGAATTTGAAAGCCCAGCTGAGAAACTTGGTCCAAATTTTAGGGAATAATATAGAAAGCTTGATTATGTGTCCCATAAACATGTCTGGCCTCAGTTTCATATAAATTGTAAAACCTCCTGAGAATGCCAAATAGAATCTACTGATATTTCTTGGTGATTGTCTCAAACCATGGTCTGAGACTTCATTAGAAATAGTGATGTGGGGCTGGAGTGATGACTCAGCAGTTAAGAGCATTGGCTGCTCTTAACCAGGTTTGATTCCCAGCATCCACATAGTGGCTAACAATCTTTTGTAACTCCAGTTCCAGGGGATCTGACGCCTTCTTCTGCCCTCTGGGCATTGCACAACACAGGTACACTTACATACATGCAGGCAATACCCTCATACACATAAAATTAAAATATTTTTAAAAAAGAAACTCACTTTTTAAAAAATATTTTACTGATCACTTTCATTTTATCTGTATGAGGGTATTGCCTGCATGTATGTGAGTGCACCCATGTCGTGCAGTGCTG